CCTCTTTGCTACAACTGAGAAACTAGCCTGGAATCTCTTTGCTCTGGATTAGTGTGTATGAGTGGTTTTGGCAAGGCCCTCAAAGGTCATACTGCACAGGTAGGCAAGTCAATAAATTAAAATAGAGAGAGAGAGACTAGAAAGACAAGGTCCCTGTTCGCATGGGTTTCACATTCTGATTGGAGAGATAAACAAAGAGTAAAACAACAACAAACAGGAAGAGATAATGAAGCACACTAAGCAGAAGTTTAAACTGGGTGATAGATAGTTTCTGGTGGCAGTGGGGCAGCTCCTGGAGGAGAGGGGAGGAGGCAGAAGGAGGCAGGTGTGTCATATAGAGCCAATGGCAGCTCTAAGGAAGGAAAGAGGCTGGGATGTTTGAGAGAACAGAGGCTGTCAGTGGTACCCAAGGGTCAAAGGTAGGTACGTTGGGAGTGTGCAGGGCAAGTAAAAGGTTGAGGATGGGCACAATAATCTTTTTAGAGTAGAAACAGAACCTCAAAAGGAAGTAGAGTAGAACTTCTGGGAGGTGTTACATGATATTGGAATTTTAAATTTGGGGTCCTGAATTTTAAAGAAAATGGGAACAATGTGTATTGCTTTCTTGGAAGCAGAGCTTTGCCGCTCTGGTAGAAGCATGCACTGGGTCTTCATGAAGTAAATAAAACAGACAGACAGCAAGTCAACAAAGTGGAGTTTGCCAAGAAGTGAGGCTAACAATGGACCAGGCATCTAAGCAGCTCAGTTGCATAGCTGGTGTGGCAGAGCGGGGTTAACCAGGGTTGGGCCTTTCTGAGCAGTACAACAAAGGGGGGAAAGATGCAGGAATTGAGAATATTAGCAAAGGAGTGATCATAGTGATAGACTATGGAATCCAAGCTGAGTAAAAAGGGAAAGTCATGAGGACAGTGGCTGGTAGAGAGTAAGGTCAACTGACAGGGGAAGGAGCCTTGATGAGGTTGAAGAATGAGTGAGAACCTGAGCTTACAGGGTAAGGAGTGGTACCACAGAAGTGAGTTGTTGGAACTGATCAAGATCAAACGGGCCTGCTGTGAAGTCCTAAAGCATTTCCACACACATTAGAAAAAGGAAATCCCTTCTCTAATATACTATATTTCCTTCTGCCAGAAGATTCTAGTGACAGGTACACAGATTCATGATGCCTCTAGGCAAATACATTTCTCTGAAAGGTAGCATCATGTACACTATACAATCCACACAATGTGGGCCTACACCCATAAAGCTATGATCATAGGTCAGGTGACTGAGGTGGCTCTGCCTGTCCTGGAAACCACTGCCTGCAGAGATGCTCATCCCTCCCTATGGTACTCAAGGACCTGGGGATCATTCTCCATGGAGCAGTGCCCATATCAGGAGGTACTCATATATGTGGCTATGTCTTTTATATTAAAGTATCTGTGGGTCTCTCACAGCACAGTTCATTCAAAGACCAAAAATAAGAGAGTATGCTAAAAATGTGGTCTTTCTTTTACATAAAATTTGGAACAATCTATTTTTCCATAAACTGATAACCTAAAAAATTACATACAGTTGGCCTTTTGTATCCATGGGTTCTGTATCTGTGGCTTCAACCAATCCTGTATTGAAATATTTGGAAAAAACCCTGACTCTGTATTGAAACTGTATAGACCTTTTTCCTTGTCATTATTTTTTAAACAAAAAAAGTATAATAACAATTTACATTGTATTAGGTATTATGAATAATCTAGATATGGTTTAAATTATACAGGAGGAAGTGCATAGGTTTTATGCAAATACTGGTTCAGGAAGTGCAAGCTTAGACAAGAGATAGCAAAGGTGCCATCTTCCCCGGCAGTATGAATGGGGTTTCAGGTGCCATATGTGACAGATTTCTGAATGGGAGCATGTGACAACTGCCTGCATGTAAGGGAGAAAGGAGGCAAGAAGAGGGAGGAGGCAAGGCTGTTAGGGGTTTCTAGATGTGAAGATGAGTTGGTGATTGCTAATTCCTAAGAATACAATACACTGGGGGTGGGGTAAGTGCAAGCATATAGGTTTCCTCATTGAAAAACACCATCAAAATACTTCACTACCAAAAAAACCAACCAACCAAACAAACAAACAAAAAACCCCTACAATTCCACTTTTTGACTGTCTCCTGTCTCTTTTACTTTATGATTTATGGAATAATTTTCTACTGGGCCCACAAAGAATGAGCAATCTAACAACTCATTCTCTTTGAATATTCTTTTTTTACATAAATTACATGACCCTATACATAAAAATTGACTAATTTAGATATTATTTGTCCATATGTTTCAAGCCAAGCATTTAATTATTAACAGGGCTATTTCCAAGATCCACTAAGAGAAGAATTATGAGCTCCAAGTTATTAGGTGGAATTATTTTCAGAACCAAAAAAATCAGTATGGAATTAATCTAATGCATTTGTAGTTAAACTGTGTAGAGATGAGGGGAGGTAGATTCAGATATGCCTCTAGAAGGCAAAGCATGCCCCTTATTGATCACATAACTCTCACTTTTCTTTCACTCTTTCAACACAACTTYCTGGGGTGCCTATCGTCTGGGAATGTAATGGTGGACAAAGCAAATACGGTTCCTGTACTCACGAAGTTTCTAGTCCAGTGAGGGATAAACAGTTAACAAAAGATAAGTAAACATTGTGAGAAGGACCACGACAAAAAATGAAATAAGGTGCTGCAAAGAATAACCAGGGAATCTGAGTGCAGTGGCAAACATCTGTAATTCCGGTGACTTGGGAGGATCACAAGTTCAAAGCCAGCCTTAGCAGCTTAGCAAGGCACTAAGCAACCCTATCTCAAAAAATAAAAAATATAAAAAAGGGTTGGGGGTGTGGCACAGTGGTAAAATGCCTCTGTGTTCAATCCCTGGTACTAAAAACCAACCAACTAACAAACAAAATTTAAAAAGAATAACCAGGAAAACACTTCAGGTGCTTCTAAGAAGATCTGAATTACAGTTAAATGAGTGTGACAAGTTGGAGTGGAAGGGTGAGCATAAAGACTTTTTTTTTTTTAACTCATGATTTAACCCAGGGGTACTTTACCACTGAGCTACACCTCCAGTTATTTTTATTTTGAGACAGTATCTTACTAAGTTGCCTAGGGTTTCACTAAATTGCTCAGGTTGGTCTTGAATTTGTGATTCTCCTGTCTCAGCTTCCTCCAAGTTGCTGGGATTACAGGTGTGCACCACCACACCTGGCACAAAGATATTTTAAACAGAAGGAATAGACAGGTACTGTGAAATATGTCCGTAATCCAAGGTACCCAGGAGGCTGAGATAGGAAGATCACAAGTTCAAGGACAGCCTGGGAAACTTAGTGAGACCCTGTCTCACAATAAAAATAAAAAGACTAGGTAGAGTGACCCTAGGTTCAACCCTTAGTACTGCAAAACAAACAAACAAACAAACAAAAACACCAGAAAAAATAAGTAGGAGTTGAGGAAAAGCCAGGAAAGCTAGCAATACAAAATATGGCAGCAGCTGAAGAAGAAGGCAGGGGATATAATATTTATTCAGAATCCCTATTATGTGATCAGCACTGTGGAGAAAGTATTTTTTTCATGTATCACTTCAGCAAATGGTATTTTAAATCGTCATCATTTAAGCTAAAATCAGCCCCCTAAGTATAACATTAAAAAAAAAAAAACAAGTGCCTATGTAGTGAATTCTGTGGTGCTCTATCCAGAACAATCTCTTCAGGAATAAGGTACTTAATCCCACAGGCTCTGGGAGCAGGAAGCCTGGCTTGGATGAAGGATCTCAGTTGAGGTCCTAGCACAGGCCTCAGGGGGGTGGGAGTAAGCAGAAAGACTGGTCAGAGCAGAGTATAGACYAGGCGCTCTTACCTTAAGGCACTGCAACTCTAAGGATCACCCTAGTTCCAGAACTCACCAGGGAACCCATGTAGGCCTTGATAGGAAGATATTAACCCATCTACTTTTTTCACCCCTCAAAAAGTATTTACTCCCCAGGAAACTTCCTGCATAGAAACCTGTCTCAGTTTATTGCCCAGAGAATCTGACCAAAGAGAGCATATAAATACACACACACACACATACACACACWCWCTCTCTCTCTCTCTTTCTATATATATAATTTTACAAAATATAAATTTATTTATATATATATATAAATAAATATAAATAATTTTATATGCAATATTCCAAAGAGCTGCTTCCTGTTTAATATCTGCAGGCAATTTGATAATGGGAATGGTGATGATGATGATGATGATGATGATGATGATGATGATGGCGACCTCCACAGAAACCACAGAGCACTCATCTGTGTCAGGCTCTATTCTGGGAACTTTATGTGCATGCATAGTTCATTTAATCCTCACAACAGTATTTTAAGTGACAGGTACTATTAGCATAACACTTAATGAACTATGAACCTAGAGCTAGGGAGGTGAAATGACTGGCCCATGGTCGCACACCAGATGCAAGGCAGAACTGAGTCTGGAATCCAGTCACTCTAGGTCTGAGCTCTCGGTCATCCTGCGCACTGTTTCCCTCAGGCCCACTCATTTCAGGTGGACATTCGATTCTGTTCTCTATTCCTGTGGTTTTCTGCGATTTAACACCACCAGAAACCAACAAATAAAAACCTTGTTTTTAAATTTTTATGCTTATACTTAAATCGAATGCTTATTAGTAATTTGTTATAAGAAGTTAAATAGAAGAACTTCTATTGGTCCTATTAAATAAGAATCTGAAAGGAAATTCTAAGTAATCTAAGATCCAATTTTAAGATTCATTTCAGTAGTTCTTATATTTAGCTAACTGCAAAGAAGATTAATATTAATTCAAAATTAAAAGATGAGAATATTGTGGTAGATGAAAACTTGTATTTTCATAGCTGTGTATTTTAATTTAGTTGTTTCTTCCACCTCAGTTTCCCTGATATTACAGAAGAATTTACAATCTGATCTTTTAAGGAAATAACAGGTAAAAATTGGAAGACCTTACCTGTCCAATAATGAGAGGAACCACAACAGTCATAAAAAGCTGAGAAAAAATCGATGTAAAAGGCACAGTAGAGGACGAGCCAAGCTGTAAAATTAGAAAATAGGAGTTAGAACTACTCTGAATCAATTATTAAATATTACTGTTAATTAAGTAATGTAATAAATTTCATTTCCACAAATTTCTCTCACAGACACCAAATATTTGGTAGATTTCAACAAAGTGAATTACCTCAAATTTTTAAAATTTAAAACAAAATAGACTGTTAGGTATTGTAATATATAATTTTATTAGTAGATTATGGTTGAGAAAAAATTATTTTGCCATTAATTTTTAATCCCTTAAAATTACTTATTATTAAATACATTTCTAAAAAGTAAGTCATTCTATGTCCATACTGTCATATACCATGACATTTCACCTACAATCAAAATGTATGTGATTTTTTATTTCATCTGTTCATAGACACATAAAAGAAACAAGCATGTCTCATTCTCTTACGATGATATCTTATTTTTGTAAATGAAAAACTTCTAACTTTCCTTGTCCTTCAAGTCAAAGACAAAAAATTTCAGAGTCTTCAAAATTTATTCTCGCACAAGGTCTAGTAAATGGGAAATCCTAATGCCTAACTTATTTTACAACTTAAAATTTCAATATCTCTCTCCTAAATTTGTATGTCTTAATATTGTTCCTARCTCCCATTTTCCTTCTCCTTCATTTTTGGTTGTTTCTTCACAAAATTGCAATCTCAGCTTCATAAAGATTCTACTCCCTGTAGGATAGGAGTGTCGAACTAGGTACACAGTTGCACACGCATATTAGTCTCACCATCAGGCATTGCTAAGTCTTCCTGTGAACTGCCTCATCTTTGTTAGTACCTCCTCTTGGCTTTCAGATCTCTCTGACAAACAGCAGCCTGCTTCTCTCTTTCTTGAGTACCGGGTAGCCAGGGTCTCCCAAACCGTCAGTGGTGCTTTCCTTGGCCCTTGGAGCTTCCTTTTTGCCCTTATCCTACAGATCCAGTCTCAATTTCATATCGACCTAAGTTCAGTTAACTTAGAAATATCTTTTGGAAAATCATTTTGTGACAGGACATTGGAGATGACTGAGGGCACAGAATGTCAGATAAAGCAAATCAAATATTTAGATAAAGTTAACAGCTCAGAATGAAATGATGTAAGACCAATGTTTTCACTGATTTCTGATTTTTTGCATGAATCATTTACCAAAATCTTTTCTCTATATTGGTGTATTTTATAAAACTGTCACCATCCTCAGTCCCCATATACAAGACACAATGACTTAAGGCGTCTTGCCCACCAGTGGCCCACACCATTTGATATTAGCTTCAACATTGACCCTTGGCTGTCATTTTCACCCCTAAAACTGTAGCTTCAGCCCTTTCCCTCTGGAACAGATATAAAGTGAAAAATGAAGAAAGTCAAGCAGAAAAAATGAAACCGATGAAGGACAGGATTCCTGGAGTGTTGACGGCTACCTGGCTGTTAGCCATTTCTTTTTATRCCAAACTAAATTAGTAAAAGCTAATGATTATACCCTATCTTATAGCAACTATGTCTTTGAAGCACAAGATGCTTAACAAATATATTTTCTCCATAAATATTAGCCTTTCATTTGTTCTTGGAGTAAGAACTGAAATAAAGAAAAACATTTCATGACAAATTGAGGCACCACATGAATAGAAAAATAAATCTTAATGAACCAAGTTTTCAAGTTTAACACCATCCGTCTCAATGCTCTATCCATAAGGTTTACAATGCGTGGAGAGAGGCATGGAATTTAGAGGTATGGTGTTCACATAAGAGTTRACCATTTCTACCTGGACCCTCATGACTCATCTCCTATATCTCTGGCTCCTCCTTCTACCTTAACCTAAATTTATATTTTTAAATTTTTAAATGAATAACATATCAAGCAATATTCCTTCTCTAAGTCCAGTGGAATAAAGAAGAACTAATTTTGACTTTGGCTTTAAAACTATTATGTATTGCATTTATTTTTATTAGTGCCTTTTATTAGTTACACATAACAGTGGGGTTCATGTTGACATATTTATAAATGTATATAACATAGTTTTCTCTACTTTGATTCTTAGTACTTCTTTTTTCCCTSCCCTCTTCCCTCTCACTTGGTCTCCTGCTTCTGCTCTACAGATCTCCCTTCTGTTTGCTAGACATCCCCCTTTTTTATTCTTTTTTCTCTCTAGCTTCCCTGTATGACAGAAAATATTCCACACTCAACTTTCTGAGTCTGGTTTATTTCATTTAGCAATGCTATCCAGTTCCATTCTTTCACCAACAAAATTATATAATTCCATTGTTTTTTTTAAAAAATATTTTTAGTTGAATATGGACACAATACCTTTATTTTATTTATTTTTATGTGGTGCTTAGGATGGAACCCAGTGCCTTACACGGGCTAGGCAAGCGCTCTACCACTGAGCCACAAACCCCAGCCCCATTCATTGTTCTTTATGGCTGAGTAGAATTCTATTGTGTGTGTATATATAAATATCTCTCTMTATATACACACACACACTCCACGTTTTCTTTATCCCATTAGTTTATTGATGGGCACCTAGGCTGGTCCCATAACATTGATGTGCTTGCACCACCACATAATATATTGATTTTAGTTCTTTTGGTAAGTACCAAGGAGTGGGAGAGCTGAGTCCTATGGTGGTTCCATTCCTAGTCTTTAGAGGAATCACTACTTTCCAAATTAGTTGTACTAATCTCCAGTCCCACCAACAATGTGTAAGTGTACCCCTTTCTCCACATCCTCAGCAGCAGTTATGGTTATTTGCATTCTTCATGATTGTCAGTTTAACTGGGGTGAGATAAAATCTCAGTGTAGTTTGATTTGCAYCTCCCTGATTGTTTTAAGCATGCTGAACATTTTTTCATATATTTGTTGGCCATTTGTTTTTCTTCTTTTGAGAAATATTTCTTTAGATACTTTGCCTACTTATTAAGTCATTAGTTTTTAAACTTCTCCATCTATCACATAATAGGCTAATCATGTGCTCAGTGTTCCAAAACTTTATGCTACGAGAAGACAGTGGAACAAGGCAATGGACCGAGGAGGAGGAGGAGGGTGTCCATGACCCCAAGATGCTTCTGACCTCTGACTTACTCGACTGAAAAGACAGGCTGGAGCGGCCCTTCTCTGAGTCACTGTCAGATGAGAGATCAGAGTGAGCCACAGATGAAATTAACAGGGTACCCAAAGCCAGATAAGGGATGGTAGGGGTGTTGGGGAGCAAATCCCTYTGGATGAGTCCCTTAGAAGTGGCTCTGAAAGGACGGAAACCTCAGGACTGAAGTCTAATTTGGCATAAGTCCTTCCTTTTGAATTGGCCACCAGACCTGTCGCTGTGGTCAGAGTGAAGATGCAGAGGTGCCCTTGGGAAGTTTCTGATGCTGTGAAGTGCCCTGGCATCCAGAAGAAAGAAGAGTGAGCATCTGGCTCAGGGCAGCATATGAGAACATGACTAGCAAAGTAYGAGACCTGATTATTTTGTATGCAGGGTTGATCTTAATGAAAGCAGAAGGAAATATGCTGCCTAGGATATTTAGTTCTTCATATTTTAATGAGGAACCAGTTGTGGCTTCTATTGTAAAGACCAGTGGGGCTTGGAAGAAGCATCAATAATTTGCAGGTAAAGTCTGCAGGTTCAGAGTCATCTTGTATTAAGCAAGAGCTCTGGGCTTTACTGAACTACCCTGGCAGATTTCAGTATGTCTCCTACCGCCAAGCCAGGCTTTAAGATACAGTGTGTTAAACAAGCAATCCGGTCACTGGCTAATTTCTTACAGGAATGTGGTACTTTAAAGCAGAGGACTCACAAGAAGGTTGGATTCCTGGTTTTCACATCTTATGCTGAGAAGAAATGATTCATGAAAACTCAGTCTGTGGGAATTTAGGACCTGGTGTTCAATCATTTCAGTAGTGACCGTGTGCTGCCYGTTCTCAGGGGATGCTCTCAGCATTGGGATATAACAGTGGACAAAATGTAAAACCCCTCCTCTCTCCAAGGGCTGTTTTTCATAAAAAGTCGAGGTCTACACACATGCCTGCCCATCCCAAGTACACATGAACTTCTCTCTCTGGAATGTCATTTCCCCACTTACAACTGGCAGGTTTTTAATCTTTCCAAGGCTCAGTTTTTAAGAATCTTTTTAAAAAACTTCTCCCAAGATGCTGAATTGCACCTTCCTCTTTTGTGAACCACTGTCCTCTGCATTTCCATTGAACCTCTTGGCATCTTCGGTTGTTCTTGTTTACAAATGGTCTCTCCCTAGAGATGGTATTCTCCTTCAGGTCAGAACACTACTTATTCACAATTTACATCTGGGGCAGTGGTTCTCAAACTCTAGCACATCAGAAACACCCGGAGGGCTAGTTAAAACACAAACACAAATTACATTTGGAAAAATAAGAAGCCAASGATAGCCAAAGAAATCCTTAGTGAGAAAAGTGAAGTAGGAGGCATCACAATACCAGACCTTAAATTATATTAGAGTTATAGTAATAAAAACAGCATGGTATTGGCAACAAATCAGACATGAAGACCAATGGAACAGAATAGAAGACACACACACACACACACACACACACACAAACCCCAAACAAACAAAAAACCAAACCTCACATAAATACACTTATTTCAAACTAGACAAAGGTGCCATAAACATCATTTGAAAATATAGCCTCTTCAGCAAATGGTGTTGGGAAAACTGGAAATCCATTTGTAGTAAGAGTTTAACTCCTATCTCTCATCCTGCACAAAACTCAAAGTAGATCAAGGACCTATGCATTAGACCAGAGTCCCTGTGCCTCTGAGAAGAAAATGTAGGCCCAGCTCTTCACTGTGTCAGCTTAGGAACTGACTTCTTCAACAAGACTTGTAAAGCACAAGAAGTAAAACCAAGAATCAATAAATGGAACAGTATCAAATTAAAGAGTTTTTTAATAGCAAAGGAAAAAATTAAGAGTGTGAAGAGAGAGCCTAAAGAATGGGAGAAATCTTTGCCATCTGCACCTTAGATAGAGCATTAATC